CGGCTCCAGATTTTGCCTCGAGGTTAACTCCTGAAGTAGTAGTATACTTTATTACAGTCAAAGACCAGTAAAACCAAATCAATATAAAATAGATACATATAATTATTGTTAAATAAAGTCGGGCAAGGTAATAAAATTCCATTAAAACATGATAAAACAATCCCTTATTTCCAATTAATAACATAATATATCCTCCCAAGGCTGACGAACCCCACCTACCCACTAAAATATCACAAAAAGACAATATTCAGAAGTGTTTACTGTTCCTTTCTTCCGAGGATGCTCTGGGACTTTGCAGTTTGCCTAAGGCTACTCAGGCTGACTCTTCTCCTGGTGGCGGGAGCAATCAAACTCACTTCTTCTGACTCCACAGTTAGGTGCCCAGTTCACTGTGCTATCCAGCTCGCTAATACCTTTACAGGATATCTGAAATATTGTAATAGGGAACTTTCGTTGGAATCCTGGATCAGGCAGAGTCCTTGCACAGCTGGGGAGGGGAAGGAGAAATAGAGAAATCTAAAAGGCCTTCTGGCCAGATGTTGAAGCCAGAGGCTACAAACACATCTGAGCCTAATTCTTTAAGTTTGCAGTCTCCAGTGTGAACTTAAATTTAGTCATAGGTTTTGAAGCTTTAACACCTAGCCAGAATGATATTTGGGCTTTTCTGCCTCCATCCCACGTTTGAAGTGCCCAGTGTGATGAAGCATCTTGCAGAAGTTAAATGCTTGCCATTTTATGATAATCTAGCGGTCTACTGAAGATATTACCCACTTCCAGATTAGGACTTTATTTAGTGGCATTCAGTGAAGACTGAGAGTCTGGTTGCAGTCTTTGAAGGAGTAGCTGTGTTAATCTATGCAAACATATCAGACCAAAACAGAAAGAAAGCAAAATAAAAACAAGAGACAAAAGCCTTGAGGCACCTTAAAGACTAATTGCTATATTTTTATGTGAGTTTTCATAGATCAAGCCACATGAATGCTCACGTGGATCACATGGTGCTTTGGGCTTCAGTGTACCCAAAGACCGCCGAAGAATTGATGCCTTTGAATTGTGGTGCTGGAGGAGGCTCTTGAGAGTCCCCTGAACTGCAAGGAGAACAAACCTATCAATTCTAAAGGAAATCAACCCTGAGTGCTCACTGGAAGGGTAGATCCTGAAGC